TGCATAGATGTTTGTAAATGTTTGGAAGTCGGATCTGTGGATTTGTTAAGTTCAAACTTGCGGATATTTTTGCTATTAATTTTATCTATCTATTTTCTTTGATTAACACACATGTTAATTGTCACTTTTCATTTGCTCGTTGAGCCCTCACATATGTATGATTAATTATAGATATAAAACATATTCTATGTATTTCTGTATTTTAATAGTAAATAAAATTGTTTACTCCAAATGTGTCATCTAACAGAATAATGGAGAACTACATTAATATACATTTCCTGAAAGTTTGTAAGATCTGAGAGGGCTGTACATTTAACTCCAAGATGATTTGGCTTTTGTTATTTATTATCCATGAAACATCAGCTAACAATGGCAATACGGTCTTAAGAGATTTGGGAGAAAAAGAGTATTCCTTGATAAAAGGTAGGAAATTGAAAAGAAATTGATGAGAGTAACAGTTAACAGAAAATACATAAAAAACTTATCATTTTCAGCAAAATCATCATTGCCACAACATGGAAAATGTTGGCATACTGCGCTCCAAACATTGGAGAGCAATTGCGATAAATTGAATGATTACGAACATTCACTTCTTGCCCTTCAACTAGCAAATTGCTTCTTAGAAGATTCTGGTCATACAACTTACAGTTGCCATTTCAGTGAAACAGAAGATGAGCGTCGGTAAAACGAGTATTTTTTGTTAGTTATATTTTATGCCTAATTTTGTAATAACCATGATTTACTTCACAGGAAATGCATTGGCGACATGACAGATCGAGCCTTTAGTGTTTATAATGAATTCTACACTCACGCAACTCATATTTGTTTCTTTTTGAATCATGAAGCTTGGCAAACTGAAGTTGAAAATACTATAAAGCTGTAAGTGCATATCTATAATACCCTAATGTTTTTGCATATGTAAAATATAAAAAAACTCACACATTTTTACATTTGAATTACATTTAATCATTCTATATTTAGATTGTGTATCATTTCTATATTTAGATTGTTTCAAATATCTTCCCGCATGAAGGATCAATTGTTAGAAGCATCGGAAATGCAAGGTGTAATTTTAAATAGTCAAAAGGAAGGTTTGCGTATTCAAAACGAGCTTTTAGATCATGGCAAGGAACTGGGAACTGTATTAAAGACTTCGTCTGATACAGTCAGCAATATGGTGTCGGATTTCAAGTGAGTTAGTAAAAACGATTTTTGTAACGTTTAAAAATTTCAAGTCAAATTACTATATAAACTGTCGATTTGAAACTCTTGATTAAATTTTAGAGAATCGGCTAAAGATCAGAAGGAACTACTTTACGAGATCTTCTCATATATACGTACTTTCCAAAGCTGGATTATCGGAGAAGTGTCTTGGTTTCAATCTATTATATTTTATACTGTCAGCTGCATTCTCTGCGCGTTATTCAGTTCTTCTAGAAGAACGGTTGATGCAAGAGTTGCGCTCTTTAGTATCCTAAGTTTGAATATAGTGATTGAAAGAATACTTGTTCAATATTATGATAAGATTATTCTTCAATCTCCAGATGATAAGGTAATATTATAATAAAGTTAAAAAAATTGTTTCTCATAATACTATTCCATTTTCTCTTATAGGCGCACCTGCTAAGTACAACATGGTTGTGCAGAAAAATTGCCTTAATACTTTGTGCTATAACATTATTCTGTACATATTACTATTATAAAGATGGACAATTAGAGAATTATAAGGCTTTACAAAGAATCGAGCAGCAGTTGAATATCATTCAGAAAACTCCAATTATTTCCAACATTGACCAACCAATTCGTATGTATTTTATGTACAATTTTAAATGGATGCATGGATCAAATTTTTGCATAATAAATTGTATCAAATTTAGGTTACTCGAAACGACTTGCGTTGAAACGTTCGCATACAATTTTTGATAAACAGGATGATCACTGATGTTAAAAATGGAAAATAATTATTTTAAATTTAAAAAAATCATCATGTATATGTACATATTTTAATAAGATAATTGTACAAATGGAAATAAAGATATCTATAGAGCTTCATAAATATTTACAGAAACAGTTTTTATATATTTAAGTGATAATCTAAATTGTTTTACAATGTATTATATGTTAATGCATTGAAGTCGTATTACAGAAAAAAAAACTATACTGTAGGATATCTTCGTAGAAGATATGTAATCTGATTATGCGTCAAGTTCTTACTGTTAGATACAGGCACAATTTGATCCTTTAAAGAATGCATACATTCCATACTACTTGTGTAAACTTGGTAGCATTGATTTAATGCTTTTAATTGTGGAATACATTTTTTATCTTCAAACTCATTTTCTTCGAGACACGTCAAAAGAATGGACATTTCTAATAAACATCCCTTTTCTAGAAATAGAAATATATTCAAATTATTAATTTTATAAAATTATATATATAAGAAATATAATTTTCTTGAACATTAATTATTGACAATTGTAATAAATATTGATGTGTTCTGTGCAGAATGAATTTACAGTCCATAAAATTAATTTCAAGGAATCAAAATCAATATTAAAAAGAATGAATGTATTAAGGTTTGCTTTCACAATACAATTACTTAAAAACTACAGGTTATCAAGCAATTTGTGAATAAATTTCACTGATGAATTTCTTGGTAATCTTTTATTTTTAGATAACTATGAAGATAGATCTAAATATATTTTAATAAGAATAATTCACAGTTATAGATGGAATAAAAAATTAAATTGTTTTATATTCTTGACAGAGATTTATAAATAAATGAAATAGAGATTCACTCTCTACTCCAAAAGAATATAATTGAATGGAGCCAATAAACTCCATCAGTTTCAGAAAGTTAAATATACCTGTTATTCTCTGATTTTTTCCACTCACAGAACTCTTCAATTTTAATGGCAAAATCTCCTTAAAAGGCACTTTCTTTTCATTCTGTGGCTGTCTCGCATTACGAAATATCGATGTTAATCTCATCTCTCTGTAATATAATATTTATTATATGATATACTACAAAAACGAATATTACATTAATATATAGTAAAATAATATAGAATTATATAAATTTCTTTAAGAAAGTGAGGTTAAGTTTTTCATTAGATCTATGTTAGTGATTAAACGCATGATTTTTTTTTAATATCGACATATAAACACAGTTAATGTCAAAATACAATTTTAATAATCATTAACAACTTTTGCTAGACGTACATTAATTTTTTTTGTAAAAACGTCCGCTGTTAGTCGTAACACAATCACGTTCGACTTTCAGAAAATGTAGCCTTAAGCAACCAGATGGCGATAGCGTTTACTTTCAATTTCAATTGTGTTCTCTCGATCGTGTTTTCTTTTTGCATTCGCAATTTAAAACGGTAAAGTGCCGTAGAACATGCTGCATGAAATTATTGCTATATCAGAATATTTAAATACGAAGTCCAGTTTCTTAAGATCAAAATAAATAAAAAATCAATTAGTAAAACAAATATTAACTCTTTTTAGAATGCAATTCTGCACTTCTCGTCTTTCTTTTTTTCTTTTTAGACACGTGCTTCGTATGAGTAAAATGCATGAAAATTGCGTAAAAAATAGATTCTATATATTTAAAAGGGAAAATATTCATATTTTTCTGTCTCTTTTCCTCTCTCGTTTCTAAAAGCGATTAAAATTAATTTAATAATCGCGCGCCGTTTATATCAGTTGAAGGTGAAAAATTGCGAGACTAGTTTGTGGAGGGGCAATGGGAGATTATGGGAATACTGAGACTCTGGAGAGGAACAAGAAAACGTATGATGCTTATCGTATGATGCTTAACCTCAAACTGCTTCAAAGTTGCGCGTGACTGTGTCGTTTTGGCGGCAAGGCCACACGTATTGTGGAACGGATTCATATATTCGGCTGTGCCGAAAGGAAACCGGTGAAGGGGAATCGAGCAGGGTAGCGTCAAAGTTCAAGGATCAAGAATGGCAGAGCATCAGAGAAGTGAGTTTATTAAACCGAAAATGACTGATGCTTTTTGTGCGCGCGGTGCATCTTAAGATATTTCGCGAAGATATAATTGCGCTCTCAAGAACGGCGCAAAAAGGCTCACTGATAAAATTAAATTGCAGAAGAGGACAAGAGAGGGACAGACCGTGTTTTCGAGATTAAACGCGCCCGACGTGACGACGTCGTTATGAGAAAACTCGTCGATAATGCATCATACGATGTAATTTTTTTTCGTCATGCGATCGCGAGCGATTGCTGCGTCGTAATAAATTCTACGCACGCGATAATGACCGAATGACGAATATCGTCTGTCTTAAAATACATAATATATGTCGTATAATTTTGATAAATTTTTACGCGATTTAATCCGTAGATGAAATTTCAGATTTTTTATTTCAGGTCTCTGGATCTTTTTGAAGGTTGCATGACATAGCGTGATTTTACATACTTTCAACGTACTTATTATATCTTGAGATAATCGATGTAAAATATTTTCTGTTCATTTAAAGTACATATTTTGAAATAGTATATATATTTATTTTTGAAATTTAAAGAAATTTGAATTTTAAATTATTGTTATACATAATAAATATTATATAATTAATTTATGTTTATTTATATGTTTTAATTT